GCCCCCCCCCCCCCCACTCTAGTGCCTATGTGCCTCTGTGAGAATACTAGCATTTGTAATGCATCCCTTTCCCCATTAGAAGCGATAGTATGGGCTGGCTACAGAACCACTCTAAGCAGATCACAATTATAACATCTAACAAAGGAGAGGTGGAGCGGGGGGGGATGTATAAACTATCTGCATGTGGGAAGAGCTTTTGTGAAAGCCATTATTCTGTGCCATCAAAAACAACAGTCTAGTGCCTCCCAAAAGAATGACACATTTTTATGGGAGACCAGGGACCATAGTGAAGTCATATCTAGTCTAAAAAAGCTTGTAGCATCAAAACTTTCTTAGTATTTAAGAATTCTCTGTTGTTTTATTTATTGGTTTTAGAGTTTCCTCTGAACCAGCATAATTATACATGGTATTAAGTTCCATTAAGAGTAATAGGATTTACTCCCCAGTAAGCCTCTAGAAGGACATGGTGGTGCTGTAGGTTAAACCACAGAAGCCTCTGTGCTGCAAGGTCAGAAGACCAGCCATCGTAAGATCGAATCCACACAATGGAGGGAGCTCCCGTCGCTTGTCCCAACTCCTGCCAACTTAGCTATTTGAAAGCATGTAAAATGTGAATAGATAAATAGGGACCACCTTGGTGGGAAGGTCATGGCGTTCCGTGTCTAGTCGTACTGGCCACGTGACCATGGAAACTGTCTATGGACAAAGTCTAGCTCTATGGCTTGGAAACACGGATTAGCACCACGCCCTAGAGTTGGGCACAACTGGACTAAATGTCAGGGGAAACCTTTGCCTTACCTTAAACCTCTTGAGATTTGACATCTGAGAGAGGCATTTAAGGTAGTTTTTTAAAAGCATGTCCTAATGCCGTAGCTGTTCAACACACATCTTGTGTCCTCTCCATTGGGAAAGGCATGTTGAACCTCAAGTAAGAGGTTGTATCATTTGAATTTAATTTAAATATATTCCAGAGGGAGTTAACATTATGATCCACATTCTCCCCTTTTCTCCACACACATAGGAATAATTGCTGAAAATCTTCCTCAATGTCTTTTTTCCCCCTGATTGATGAGAGACACACAAATGTATTTGGGCAAGACACTAAGGACAGACCACAATTAGGTTCAAGCTGGACGTGGCTTCAAACCATTGTTTGCACCCATTATTAGAATCCAAACCATGGTTTGAGTTTTTGAACCTACCACAGGCAGACCCAGGTTTAAATCTGCTTGCCTGCCTTCTTTTTTCATCTTCTCCACACTCAGCTTCATGAGTTTACTTCTGTCTCCATTGTGCAGCAGTCTCTGGAGGTAGAGTGGTGTCCATTAAACTACAGTTGCCAGTTCAGACATCACCTCAAATCATGGTTTCTCAATCCACTTCAAACAATGGCTTCTGATTCTGACTCCCCCCCCCCCAGTTGTGGTGGGCCTTGATAAACCATGTAAATGATTTTCCTTAACAATTTTCTGACATGATGTCTGAATTGAGATGAGGTAGGATTTGGAAAACGATATTGTTTATGAGTTTTCTGAGAGTCCCTTCTCAACCATTGCTTTCAGCCTATTCCATTTGCATTAGGCACTGTAAGAACTTAAACAATGGTCAAACTCACTGCTTGATAATATCTACCTATATTAGGTAGAAATAGGAAATCTCCATCTTTACGGGCTTCCCCCTAAATAACCTGGCAAATGTTAACTTTGGAATTTTTGATGGTAAAATGCTTGGTTTTAGATATAGATCTGGAATGTTCTTGTTGTCCCAACTGAAATACCTAACAGGATGCAATGAAATCTGAAAACAGTTTTTGGCTTAATGTTCTTTTTTAATCTCTTCACTGAGGTTTAAGCACAAGAACATTCTTCTTGTCCATGTCCTCAAATCTAATTTTATCTTCCTTGGGGACTAAATGTCAGGGGAAACCTTTACCTTACCTTAAACCTCTTGAGATTTGACATCTGAGAGAGGCATTTAAGGTAGTTTTTTAAAAGCATGTCCTAATGCCGTAGCTGTTCAACACACATCTTATGTCCTCTCCATTGGGAAAGGCATGTTGAACCTCAAGTAAGAGGTTGTATCATTTGAATTTAATTTAAATATATTCCAGAGGGAGTTAACATTATGATCCACATTCTCCCCTTTTCTCCACACACATAGGAATAATTGCTGAAAATCTTCCTCAATGTCTTTTTTCCCCCTGATTGATGAGAGACACACAAATGTATTTGGGCAAGACACTAAGGACAGACCACAATTAGGTTCAAGCTGGACGTGGCTTCAAACCATTGTTTGCACCCATTATTAGAATCCAAACCATGGTTTGAGTTTTTGAACCTACCACAGGCAGACCCAGGTTTAAATCTGCTTGCCTGCCTTCTTTTTTCATCTTCTCCACACTCAGCTTCATGAGTTTACTTCTGTCTCCATTGTGCAGCAGTCTCTGGAGGTAGAGTGGTGTCCATTAAACTACAGTTGCCAGTTCAGACATCACCTCAAATCATGGTTTCTCAATCCACTTCAAACCATGGCTTCTGATTCTGATTCCCCCCCCCCCAGTTGTGGTGGGCCTTGATAAACCATGTAAATGATTTTCCTTAACAATTTTCTGACATGATGTCTGAATTGAGATGAGGTAGGATTTGGAAAACGATATTGTTTATGAGTTTTCTGAGAGTCCCTTCTCAACCATTGCTTTCAGCCTATTCCATTTGCATTAGGCACTGTAAGAACTTAAACAATGGTCAAGCCCACTGCTTGATAATATCTACCTATTGAACCTCAAATAAGAGGTTGTATCATTTGAATTTAATTTAAATATATTCCAGAGGGAGTTAACATTATGATCCACATTCTCCCCTTCTCTCCACACACACAGGAATAATTGCTGAAAATCTTCCTCAATGTCTTTTTCCCCCTGATTGATGAGAGACACACAAATGTATTTGGGCAAGACACTAAGGACAGACCACAATTAGGTTCAAGCTGGACGTGGCTTCAAACCATTGTTTGCACCCATTATTAGAATCCAAACCATGGTTTGAGTTTTTGAACCTACCACAGGCAGACCCAGGTTTAAATCTGCTTGCCTGCCTTCTTTTTTCATCTTCTCCACACTCAGCTTCATGAGTTTACTTCTGTCTCCATTGTGCAGCAGTCTCTGGAGGTAGAGTGGTGTCCATTAAACTACAGTTGCCAGTTCAGACATCACCTCAAATCATGGTTTCTCAATCCACTTCAAACAATGGCTTCTGATTCTGACTCCCCCCCCCCCAGTTGTGGTGGGCCTTGATAAACCATGTAAATGATTTTCCTTAACAATTTTCTGACATGATGTCTGAATTGAGATGAGGTAGGATTTGGAAAACGATATTGTTTATGAGTTTTCTGAGAGTCCCTTCTCAACCATTGCTTTCAGCCTATTCCATTTGCATTAGGCACTGTAAGAACTTAAACAATGGTCAAACTCACTGCTTGATAATATCTACCTATATTAGGTAGAAATAGGAAATCTCCATCTTTACGGGCTTCCCCCTAAATAACCTGGCAAATGTTAACTTTGGAATTTTTGATGGTAAAATGCTTGGTTTTAGATATAGATCTGGAATGTTCTTGTTGTCCCAACTGAAATACCTAACAGGATGCAATGAAATCTGAAAACAGTTTTTGGCTTAATGTTCTTTTTTAATCTCTTCACTGAGGTTTAAGCACAAGAACATTCTTCACGTCCTCAAATCTAATTTTATCTTCCTTGATATTTCAATACTTCTCTTAATCTCGGAGGTTTGCACAAGACAGCCAAGTATAGAGATCCTTGCTTCTTTGAATCCCAAATAAGAGAGGCTCTAGCACACCATCTAGCCCAACTGGCCCTGTGATCTTTACAAATGTTTTAATCCCCAGCCCGCACCCCAAGGAATCACCTTTTCTAGGTACGTGTAGCTCCATATTTTTCCGTCAGCCCATGTTCTAGAAATGATCTTCCCACCTGGGTCGTACTCCATTTTCTCAGTCCACGTCCCTCTCTGGATATAGGTCACTAATCCCGAATGTGAGTAAGTGATGTTGACTTCGTTGTATTTGTTCATAGGGGACCACAAGATGGGGCGGCCTGCCTGGTCGTAGAGGATCCTCAGAGTAAACTTCCGATGATCGTCGTAGATCTTCCCTGTTCTTGTCGTGTGGTCGAAATCAATAGATAGTAGGTTTCTGTTGTGTGCCTGAAGAACAGGGCAAGAAGAACATCTCCCTCATCAAATTTGCTGCCAGGAAACCTCACGTTATTACCTCTGAGAGCAGTGAAAATTAATGTTCCAAGCTTAGAATTTTTTCTGTTAATATGAATATGTTTAAATGGGAAAACAAAATTTATCTATAAGATCTGTATTTTTGTTCTATGCCTGCACCCTGATGAAAGATTGATACCAGAAGTTCACTTGATGGATGGAAAGAGAAAGGACAAGTCAAGAAATACAGAAGGTAGTGTCTGAGGTAAACCCTATTCAGGCATTAAATAATCATGCTCACTCTACATGTGATGGGGAAAGTGCCCTAGTTCTGCCCCTTCCCATTGTTACTTTACATGGGGATTTTATGCACAAGTCACTGAGGTGAAAAAAAAATGATGATGAGGGGAAGGCTGGCACGGAAGGATGGGACTTTCAAGGTTTCTTGGGGTTTAAAATCACAGAATTCCCCAAGAATTTCCACCTCATCGACTGATCTCCCAGTCTGGGCAACAGCTCAGGCTGCTCTGCCCCACCCCCTTGGCTGAGCTGCCACTCAGACTAAAGGGCGGGGCAGATAGGTCTGTGCAATTGCCCCTGACTGGGAGATTAGCCGAGGAGGTGGGAAAAGCAAGCAATCTGGGCCTAGTGAGGGGCTGGTTGACTGAGGAGATGGGGGAGAGGAGCAGCAGCAGCTCTACTGTCAACTTTTTGAACTGGGATGAATTGGGACAAACTGGTTTGGGCCCATCTCTAATCATAGCTATAATTGACTATTAAAATCTGGACAGCCACACCTCCACCCATTTGTTACCTATCTCCTGACACATAGTTATAATTTCCCTCCACTCTTTGATGATACCCCCTAATGTTTCTCTGCTCTTGCCATAAATACAAACAGATTTTCTCCTGAACTAGAGACCTACCTACAGAAGCATTCTGTTTCCCTGTGGTCAATCAAATGCTCTAAGAAGCGGAAATTGTAAACTAAATTCGGGAAGTAAAAGGATGGCAAATAACAGTCTTTGATTTCTGGTGAACATCCTGTTGCAAAGATTTGAATCAACAGCAAAACCGACAAACAAAACTGCTCCCAACAGACTAAAGAGAGGGAAAAGAACACTTAGCAGAGAGGCAGGGCTCTTTTTTAATTCAAAAGTGGGAAGGAATGATTGGTTAGTGCTGAATAGATTGACAGTCACCCCAGCTCAGAAAGGGTCACTCCCAGCCACACCTACTAGAGGCAGCATGCGAGGTTGTAAAAACTCCAACACCATCCCAACAACGGTTTCTCTACATGGAGAAAATTGGTATTCCTTGTCTTTTCCTGAGATCATGGAGGTGATGTTCAATTTGGTGAATAAGTGAGCAGCACAAAATTTAGATGGGCTATACTTGAGAACATATGAGAGTGAGGAGTGGGGGCTGGAATAATCCACCCTCCTCTCTCCCTTCAAATTTGGCAGGCTTTCGGCAGATCTATAGCAATCAGTGTCTATGTGGGTTGTTATTTTATACCGTTACCTTAAATGCTAACCATTCAATGTACTCATCAAGGTCTCCCCAAGGAGTGTTTCTGTCAAATAGAAAACAGATTTCCTAAGGCATTTCCCCTGCAAGTTATTGATGCCGTTTGGATCTTAAATTTAACTCTGTTAATTAAACAGAAAAATATTGACCACCTGCCATTGGGATTTGTTAATACTCTTGTTAAATACAAAGCTCAAAGGGCAAAGTTGATGTGATGGCAGCAGTTCCATGAGTGTAAACAATAGAATTAAAAATATTAAAGAAAATTGGGCATGGATAAGGAACTCTTGAAATCCCTCCCCGAAGGAGAATCGAACTTTAGAGACTATGGCACAAAACCATTCCAAATTTCCCTTTACATCTCTCTCCCAGCCCTATAAAGGCTCTTTCTTCCAGCTTCCCATCACCTCTTCATCTTTGATCCTTTATTTCTCTGACCAGTGATGGAAGCAACAGCAAAACCTGGTCAGTTACCCCTAGACAGCAATTTTATGTAACTTGCTGCAAAACAATTCAAGCGGTTCACGGTACAATCACATGTTCACGCAACCCTCAGCAAAGGGCACCATCCTTAAATAAATTGCTGCTGTTAATGTTATGATGGTTCTAATGATGTGTTATATCGCTTCTATGTGACTGTTTCCGTTTCTTTTCTTTTTAAACTGTCTAAAAGGAACAATGAAAGTGTGAACATTTGGGGCGGGAAAAACTAAAAAGCTTCCAAACATTCCACACACACCCTGAAAACCAATATGAAAAAAGAAATAGTGTGTGTTAATCATTACACTGAAGGAGTAACACTGTTGTAGGTCATGAAGTTATTTTTGCAAAAGAAACACTGTCACACCCTAATCCCTCCTAGTGCTAATATTTACAGATAAGCAACCAGAGGGTTTGCAAGGCATAAGAAGATGGCAAGAGAGGGCATGGTGGACGTGATTATTAAAGCCTCCATAGCAGCAACAGCTGCTGTATTTTGCTTTTGTTTTCTTTCTTAATCTTTTTAAAGAAATAAATGAAGACAGAAAGGCAAGAGAGACACAGAGAAGTGTACATGCATGTGTATGAGTATGTGTGCACGCATGCACACATGTTTGTGTATACATGTGTGGGTGAAAAGATGAAGACTTTTGTATTTTCTTTGCTTTTTTTCTTGTGCTTTCCTTATCATCCAAAATAGAACCAAACCACATGATATACTAAATTAGAAGTGCACAGGGGTGCACCTCTGATGTTGCCTGACCAGTCAACGCGACATTCCATAAGCCGTTACTGATTGGAAGGGGCAGTTCAAATAAAAGCTTTTGAAGTGGCTCTTGAATTGAGACTAAATTTGGTCCGGTGGTATTAGACAGTATAGGCTTCGTCTGTGCCAAATGTGAAGACATTTCGACAAGACAAACATATTGTCTTGACCACGAATTATTAGGACTTGATTCCTAATTTTTAGCCTTTCGGCCATCCCTGTAGCACCAGCAATGCTGAGAAACAACAACAACTGGCATAGGGTAATAATATTAATGCTTGTCATCTGTAATACACAACTTAATCCCCATCATTTCCTTATCTTTTAAGTGGAACGTCTCTGAGATCCAGTATGAATGACACATAGAATCATAGAACAACGGAATTGGAAGGAGTCTATAAGACCATCAATTCCCACACTCTGCTCAGTGCAGGAACCCAAATGTGATGGATGGTTGTCCTATTTTCTCTTGAAGGCCTCCAGCGTTGGGGTACTTACCACCTCCTGAGGTCATTGGTTCCATTTTTGTACTGCTCTAACAGTTAAGAAGTTTTTTCCCCCTGATATTCAGCCTAAATGTGGCTTCCTATAGTTTGAGCCCAGTATTACATACCCTGCACTCTGGGATGATTGCAAACAGAGCCTGTCTTTCTTCTGCATGACAATATTTCAAGTATTTGAAGAGTGCTATTGTATCTCCCCACAGTCTTCTTTTCTCAAGGCTAAACCTCCCCAGTTCTTTCAGTCTTTCCTCCTAGGGCTTGTTATCCAGTTCCCTGATCATCCTTGTTGCCTTTCTCTGAACTTGGTCGTTTGCTGGCATTCTTTTTAAAGTGTGGTGTCCAGAACTGGAAACAGTACTCAAGATGAGGCCTAACCAGTGCTGAATAGATGAGGACTAGTACCTCTCATGTACAATAGAGGCCAGTGCTCAATGGACCCTCAACAGTCTGAACTTAAGATGATCCCCATCTTAAGAAAGATTCAATCACACGGAAACTGTTTATTGCTATACCATCACTTGCCCTTCCTAGTTGCTCCTTCTCGTTCACTGAATAACATCTGAATTTGCTGACAAATTAGCTAGTGATGGGCTTCTTCCTTACTCTCATTACAGCAATGTGCAATCTTTGCTAAGCACTGTGCCAACTCCCTTGATATTTGTCATGGCTGCTGACACGCAAGCATGAGAGTGGGCCCTTTCCTTCAGGAAAAGGAAATTTCACAATGTGGGTGGGTGGAAGGAAGGAAGGAGGACATGTTCATGTGAAAATCAGGGAAAAGATTTATGAATAACCCAATGACAAGTCAACATAAAACTACTATGTGAGAACTCTCAAAATATTTAGGACAGGACAGAAAAGTTGACACCATGGTTGGTTCAGACATAACAGTCCTGGAGTACCAAGAAGAATGACAAGAATAAATTCAACCAGAAGATGACATGAATTTCTAAAACAGTAGTTCCTAACCTTGGATACCCATATGTTCTTGGACTAAAACTCCCAGAAATCCTGGCCAGCACAGCAAGTAGTGAAGGCTTCGGGGAGTTTTGGTCCAAGAACATCTGGAGGGTCAAGGTTGGGAAGCACTATTCCAAAAGAATACTGTGATATATGATTTTTTTTGGGTACTTGTACTTATTGCAATTTTATTTGTATCCAGAAAGTGTTCAAAATGAAGGGGCAGTATGGAAGTTTAGATAGATAGATAGATAGATAGATAGATAGATAGATAGATAGATAGATAGATAGATAGATAGATAGATAGATAGATAGATAGATTTTACATTAAAAAAGCGAGCAAAGTGTGCTGCTTATATACCGTCCCATGGCTCTTTAAGCACTCGCTGGGCAGTTCACAACTCAATTATGCAGGCTACACATTGTCCCCTAGCCCAAGCTGGCTGTGTAATCAATTTACTGACCTCAGAATGAGGGAATGCTGAGTGAACCTTGACATAGCTACCTGGGATTGAACCTTTGGCATGAACAGAGTTTTGGCTGCAGTACTGCAGTTTAACCACTGCTCCACAAAACGGAAGTCTTACCCGTAGCCTTCTTTCAAATGCAGAGAGATTGCCTTTGGTCTGCTCTTTCCGTTGTCTCCACTCAATAAGGTTGGAGTTGTGCTCCCCTGGTAGAGAGATATTGCATTTCCCTAAAGTGGGGTTGACAACCCCGGCGAGGATGTGGGGCTCGGCATTCAACGTGACCTCCATTCCACTGGCAAACGTGACTCTCAGGGAGCCGTCCGGACTGACCCGATAGATGTTCTGCGTGTTGTCTGTCAGCAACAAAACGAGAAAGGAGAAAGAGTTCAGCTCTTCAGCTTTGGGAGGGAAATGTGAAGTGCAGAAAGGTTATAGTTATTCATACTTTGGACAACGGCAGGCATTGCCAATGCCAGCTACTTCTCCCTAATTGGAAATCTGGAGGGCTTTCCAGCATACAGCAGTATTCTTATTTACATCAAGGTCTCGGTATTTGCATGTCAGCAGTGCTCAACAACTTGAATAAAGGTCTTCTGCTTTCTGAGACATTTCAAAAGGTTAACTCTTAAGTCAGCATTCTGGAGATTACGGATTCAATGCCTTTGGAGTTCGGATGAGATGACTCCGGCAGCGAGGGCGAAATCAACAACAACTCGACAACAACAGCTCACTGCTTAGATGAATTTAATGTGCCACTGAGGTCATCAAAGTAGCTAAAAAGGTTTTCACATAACACTGTCCAAAGGCTGTAACTGACATTGGAATGAATGAGGGCGAATACGCTTGTAGGATTCAACATTATATATTTCCTTGAGCTGAGGGATAGGAATGTCAAATGAGTGATGAAAACCCTATACAGGCATTCAGGCTGAGATTAATCTGAATGGATGAGAGGGCTAAACAGAGCATGGTCAACACTCTGCCCCACGTTCTTGTCCTTCATAGTCTGAAAGGGACTGCATCCCATCATTTTAAACTTGTTTTATCAGTTCCTTTTTACTAACAGGTTGAAAGAACCCAACAGAAACTTGTTTTCAATGCCACATATTTGGAAACAGTCAACTAGAAAGAGTAAAAAATGGAACTGGACTACTATTATGTTAACATCAGCAAGACTGACATTTACAAGAAACTGCAAAAAAAGCAATCCGTTGAGTTTGGAAGAATGGTACAATGTGATGTGGAATTTAGCTATTGGTGATCATTTAACATGAACTGAAAGTTAGAAAAGAATAATTGAAAGAAAATAGTTTTAATGGGATTTGGAATGCTTTTTAAAGAACTTGTGCCATTAAACACAAATGATTCATGTGTACATCCCGACACATGAATCATTATATTTTTGGAAAGAGACAAGGCATACAATATAAAATAAGGTGAAATGTCTTTTGGCTGCAGTTTGTGTGTGTGTGTGTTTGTGTGTGTGTGTGTGTGTGTGTATGTATGTGTATTGTTTGATGTATAGGTTTTTGTTTGTTGTTGAAATAATTTTTAAAAAGTTGCAGGAAACAGCTGGAGAGCGTCACTAAATTCCTTGAAGAGCCGTAAAAAAAAAACTACAGAGGATGAAAGAAAGAAAAAGTGGGTGCATTTTAATTACCTTGCTGTAAAGTGTAAATTGTAGAGGTGGCAGAAAAGTTGGTAGCTGTGATCACAGTTTCCTTATTTGAAATGTTGATTTCAACTTTCATCAGTTTTTCAATGTCACTGTGGAAGCTGCTGACTTCACCAGTTGGAAACGTGGCATTGGTTAAGTGCCCATCAGAGTCGTACCTGGGAAAAACAGAGGAGGTACGTAGAAAGGTAAGGTAAAATATGGCACATGGACACATTTATTGAAATAAAAAAAAAACTGGAAATGGTTGGATTTAAGCTGCAGGAAGATGCATATTTTGATCAACAGTCCCTTGGTGAATCCAAATTCACTCCTAGGCAAGGTCATCCACAGAAATAATCCGGGGGATCAAGGCAAAGTGTTGGAGCTTTTGCAACCTCGCATGCTGCCTTTATCAGGTTTGAATGGGAAGGGACCTTTCTGGAGTTGGGTGACTGTCAATCTATCCAGCCCTAACCAATTATACCTTCCCTGTCTCTGATTGCTGCCTCTCTGCTGAGGGCCTTCCCCCTCTTTTTCATCGCTTGGAGTCAGTCCACTCCCCTTCCCCTTTTAAAAGTGCGTGATTACATGGGGAGAGATTGCAATCTGGAGCACCTGTAGATCGATCACATGATGCATGGGGACATGAGCTCTGTCCCAACCTCAAGCTTCCCAAAGCTCGACCTTTTTGGTCCAGATGTAAAGCTTCTGATTTTGGGGGCCAAGCTGGAGGGAATCCTCGGTAGATGGAGGGGTGGCTTTCTTGGAAATCGCTCTCCTGCAATCAGGCCCTTGCCTTTGCAGCCATCTGATCATCCCCTGTCTCTACTTTGTGCAGAAGCAGGAGCTACGGGGCAAAATATGCAGTCACTACTTTGCCCAATTATTAGAAGAATATGTCTTCCCAACTGTCTGAAGAAGTTTGAGTTTAGGGTTTGCCAGGCTGGTTTCCCCGAAAACAGTATTAAAATGGCTGCTTATGCTTTGTTTTTCATCCCCCAGCCTGGGAAGCATCTCGACAACATGGTGAGCAACACTGCAAAGTGTGACTATGGAAAAATGTTGATGTGTAAAATTTCGTGTAAAATAGCAAGCAGCTCTTCTGCGAATTTTTGAATGATGACAAATTTCTGCACTGTTTGGTGTTTGGGTTTCCGGTGATGCAAGAGTTACCACTAGGGGTCACTCTGTAGCCAAGGAAGTAAGAAACCAACCTGCTAGATCCTTAAATAAACAGTTTGTTGCTTTTCCACATCTTTCTGCTTTTCTTTGGGCATCAGAGAAATGGTTTCAGACTTTGCCTCCAGGTACAGAAGTGGACAGCAGGCGTCCTGATTAATGGAGGATGATTGGCAGACTGTCACAGGGAAGTGTACTGTCCCATACAAGTCTATTTCAAAGGTAAAGAACCCCAAAAAGGTACAGTAGAGGCCCTGCAGCTGTCAATCCAATTAGCGCCTGGATTGCAGAATAAGGAGCAGGAGTATATGTCACTGGACCAGACCCGTCCCCAGTATGGCGAGATATGTGGCACTCTTTTTTAATGGGTGCTGATTTCTAGAAATTAGAAATTATCTACCCTCTTTTGTCTGATCCGTAATCCCTTCCTTTGTTAGTATCAAGCTAGCACAATGGAGGATTAAACTTCCAACCTTGGAGTCTGCAGCCAGAAACTTAAACCATGGAGCTATCTAGCAGTGGGTAGGTGCAGTTTATCAGGTGAGAACGAAGAGGTGTATGGGCGTGAAAGACAGGACGAGTGAGTAATCATGGATGCCAGGATCACATCTATCGAAATCTCTCCTCCTCTAAAACCATAAAATAAAAGACAAATTCTGCCCTATGTATGGAACTTGAAAAGAGGTAGTTACAAAGAGAATGTTACAACAAAGGTAATACATTAGGATTTCAGTGAGGGATACCATAACTCTTTTGGTAGTGAAATTGGAACTGCAATTCAGAGTTACTTTGATAGTTACAGGGGTGTGGCTTCATGAGGTCATGGAGAAGGAGAGGTTACCTACCTATAACCATGGTTCTTCTAGTGGTCCTCTGTGAATCTACACATCCTGCCCATCCTCCCCTCTGTCCATCACATTGTCCTTGATATAGACCTTGGACAGCGGCAGACTCTTACAGGAACTGAGAGGACCTTTGGAGGGTGGAGCATGCGCTCTACGGGGGGACGTCCTACTAATCACGTCTTTAAGCTCTAGAAACTTCCGAGATGTCCTGCACAGGTGTGGAACAACCCAACTGTGTGCATTCACAGAGGCCACGAAGAAGAAAGACGATCACATGGTACAAGGACTGGCTTATTCTGTGACTTCTGGGTGATGAGTTAATAATGAGATAGACCAAAGGAGAATGTGTTTTGTGCCACGGCATCCAAAACATTTTTTAAAAATTAAAATAACTATTTTAGTTACTTTAGTTGAGAAATAGAAGGAGTGAAACGTTGCTTTTGTACAACTGTAGCTAAAACAGAAACTTAACTAATTTGGGGTGGCTTTGGACCGGGAACTGTCATTTACTACTTTATAAAAGTCATACTCCATGTTCTTATCCCCCCCCTTGCATCTGACCATCCCATACACTGAGAGAAACAGTCTAACGTAGTGGATCCCATACTATAAATTCACCCAGTGGCTTGAAACAAAGCTGACACTTTCCATTGATTTTCCTGCTCTGATGATCCTAGCTCTGATGACAAGCTTAGGAACATGATAGGCTGTGAACAACTAGTAGATATAGACTACGCTGGACAAGCAAGGGGACTTTCCAAGCTTGGCTATGTGCAGAGATAGAAGGTAATGGATTAAAGTAACACAGTGACCTGTAAAAATATATCTATATGGCATACGCCTTGGTGATCAAAATGTTACAAGATGGCTTCTGCCTAATATGTAACGTAACGCAGTTCGGTGGATTGGGTCCAGAGGTGTTTTGTGTGTGTGTGTGTGTGTTTGTGTGTGTGTGCGCGCGCGCGCACCCTGAATTCCACACATCCCACCTCCTTCTACAGGTGCCCACTGAGAAGCAGTGCCATGTAATTCACTGCTATGCCTCGTCCTCTGAGTGGACGACTGCGGGAGGAGGCAGGGTGCGGAATCCGGGACATCCACGCAACACCTGCGGGCCAAATCCGCCGAATTGCACTGAAGCACCGAAGTGTGGCAAATGCCCACCTCTAAACACAACACAACACAATATTTTTTTAAAAGTTGCTGTCACAAGGCATCAAAATAGTGCAGACCTGAAGGCAAATCACACATTAGGAGCAATGCGTTTTTCCTGCTTTTACAGCACACTCTTACATGCCTAGAAAGCCCAATCAATTTTACAACTGAAGCCCTCGTTTTCTTCCTAATGACTAATCAAAAAAAAAAAAGAGTAAGCTAACTGCAAAATGCAGAGTGTGGCAAGCTCACGGCAGGACAATCAAAGACCTTTTATCACACCGGGGAGCTACGCTTCAAATGAGACGCGAACTGCATTACTGGGTTCGGACATTCATAAGAAGGTCTGAAAGTCACTTACTCGTATACTGTGGTCCATCCGTACTCGTTACTTTTGGTGGCCAGAAGGCCTGTGGTTCCAGGGTAAGTCATCAGGGCTAGGTTGTAGCCCTGGGCATATACCCTTTTGAGGATCCCATTGCTGCTGATGGTCAACCAGTACACCTGACCTCCGGGCATCACCAGCCAGAGTGGCAAGCCACTGGCGTCTCTGCGGATATGAACCGAATTCCCATTGCTGTTTGTAACCGTTACAAGATCACCTTCCCCATTGTATGTGAAATTGTACATGAAGTCCCTGGTGATGAGGTTGAGCGTGTGCACGTGTGTCCCGTTGCTGGTGAAGTGATACAGTTCCTGGTCTGGTGGGGACGCGATCTCGTACATATTCATGTCATTCAGATGGGCCTTGTTCCGACTGATGGCGCGGATGCGGATGTTGCCGAGGTCGGCTATGTACAAGGTCCCGTCGGGAGACACCGCGAGGGAAGAGGGAGCTTTCAGCTTCGCATCCTTGGCGTACCCGCCGTCGCCTACAAAATGACACAGAATGACTTTATCAAACCATAGTGACCAATGGAAAATGGGAATTCGCAGTATTATGTCTAGGATTTTTTTTTACTTATGGTGACCTTTTCCAGGGTTTTCCAGGTAAAAAATACAGAAAAGTGGTTTACCATTCCCTTCTTCTGGGACTGTGCAGCTTACCCAAGGCCACACAGGCTGGCTCTACTTGCAGGAGGCACTGCGTGGAATCAATCTCTCAACAGCTCTGTTGACCAGATGATCCTCAAAAACTCAAGAGAGGCATTCACCAGCGACTGGACAATTCATTCCACCTAGCTGACCCTATTTTTTCCTTTATCTGTTTAAGCCTTGTCATGTTGATGACATTTAAAACCAGAGATGCCTCTCGCTACCAGTAACTGGGGAATATGAGTGGGAGAGTGAACTTTTGTCCTGCTTACGGGCTTTCCACTGGGACATCTGGTTGTTAACTTTGGGAACTGGATGTTGGACTAGGAAGGTCCAACCTAGTCTCCTCCAAATGTTGTAGACTTCATGATATCCTTCTGAGCCTGGTGGGAGGTGTAATTCAAAACATCTGGAGGGGACAGGGATAGAAAAAGCTGAATAGGATAGAAAAGGCTGAATAGGACTTTGGTCTGGTTCAGCCGGGCTCTTCACGTCTTTCTGTACAACTCTGCTCCTGGATATATGATTCAACACAGAGGGAGAAAAGCCCATTTCAAGTAAGCCTTGTCATGTTGATGACATTTAAAAGCCTCCTTTCCCCCAGGTTTGCTCTTACAGTACTAGAACTTAAGGCCATCTAAGAAACCCAAGGGGTGGGAGGTTCACAACAGGACAGACAAAAGGAGGTATATTCCAATACAGCATATAATCAAACTATATGATCTTCTCCCACAAAATACAATGATAGTTGCTTACTTGGAACAAGGGGTGTTCAAGGAGATGCAGTATATTCACAGAGGACCAAGCTGTGAATGGCTGCTAGTCACAATATACTATAGTTTCAGAGACACCAGAGATGCCTCTTGCTACCAGTAACTGGGGAATATGAATGGGGGAGTGAACTTATATCCTGCTTATGGGCTTTCCACTGGGACATCTGGTTGTTTACTTTGGGAATTGGATGTTGGACTAGGAAGGTCCAACCCAGTCTCCTCCAAATGTTGTAGACTTTATGATACCCTTCTGAGTCTGGTGGGAGATGCTAAGTTGAAACATCTGGAGGACTTTGGTCTGGTTCAGCCGGGCTCTTCACGTCTTTCTGTACAACTCTGCTCCTGGATATATGATTCAACACAGAGGGAGAAAAGCCCATTTCAAGACACACCTGAGAAGCAGTCACAATTGGGGTCAATCTTGCAGTCGCAATCTGTTGGCGCACCAGCAATGATCGAGATTTCCCCATTGGTTGTGACTTGTTGGATGCGATTGATCTTGCGCTCATCCGTCTCCGCAATGTACAACACTCCGCTGTGGGAAATGCCAATGGCCCTGGCGGACTCCAGGGTGGAATGGATGGCCACTTTGCTGACCAGGACGTGGTCTATGCCTGGCACCTGGCAGTGGATGGGGCGGCCTGCGATAATGCGCACACGCCTGTTTTCAGAAATTTGCAACACAATGTTATTGTCCAGCACGTACAAGGAATTGTCAATGGGGTTGACCACAAGGTCTGTTGGCCACTCTAGGCGGACCTGAAAAATAAAGAAAAAGACGGGCTTAAGGGTTCAAGATTTCCCTGTGTTTCTACTTTCTGCTAAAGTATGAGAGATATGACAGCACTTTTCAAATACTTAAAAGGAGATGCAGGATTTGTCCTCAATCATCCCAGAGTGCCAGGCACATAATAATGGGCTCAAGCTACAGGAGGCCAGATTTAGGCTGAATATCAGGAAAAACTTCTTACCTGTTCGAGCAGTACAACAATGGAACTACAGTAATTACCTTGGGAGATGGCCAGCTCTGCAGCACTGGATGGAGGCATTCAAGAGACAATTGGACAAACCATCTGTCAGATCTGCTTTGATTTGGATTCCTGCACTCAGCTGGGATTGGACTCAATCATCCTATGAGTTTGTGATTCTAAACAGCCTCCAGCAGCTCTCAAGACAAGGGTGGACTGACATGAGGTCGATGGGCCATAAATCCCCTCCATTGATGGATCTTTTAAAACACGTGTGTGACGGGCTTTAAAAGACCACTGCACTGAATTCTGGGGTGTATTCTAATTCTACCGACATTCTAGTGTATTTAGGATTAGCAGTGGGGTTAATGAGTGATTAGTGTCAGCAGAAGGGCTAAATGTGTGATTCTTGAATCTCCCAAATCCAGTGAGAATCTGAGCATTCAACACCCATCAAAGGGGGTCAACCTCCTGCCAACCGGAGTGTGCTCTGCTTCCTAGCATTATCATTTTCCTAGTGGCGAGGGAACAACACAGGACATTCTTTAAATCCCATTATGTTACTTTGGCTGAAACAAAGAGCTACTCCAAAGGCAAATATCAATAGATTTGGTGGGACAATTTTATTTCTAGATGATTATCACTCTCTATGGCTAGGCTTGGCTCTAGTATCAGGCAGGGGAAGGTAGCCACTGCTTTACAGTTGCATGAACTACAGCTTTTGAAGGAACAGCACATTGCCCAGGAATGGACAATTATAATTGTCTGAAATACTGCTGCAAAATGAAGGCGAGGTCCCTTTGGACTGTCAGATTTTGTGATGTCTCATACAGGCATTTTGAGAAAACCAGCTGATGCTCAGATAATTGATGCTTTTAACAAGGTGAGGTTAATGTGATTGCTACATTGGAATCTGCTTGGTTGTAAAGATATGTGACACCATTTAGAGCACTCGTTATCTCCTGAAAATCCTCCTCACCACAGACTATTTCTCTCTTAAAATATATGGCTACCTGGCATTCAGATGAATGTGGCAGAGTACATTCAAGTGGCTGCTGGTGGTCATATTTTTAAAAGAAGATGGAAAGGGTGAAGCAGCTGAAAACAGATTCTTGTCTTTAAATAGATTTATTTTGTGCCATTTCCCCCATGAAGTGTATATTTTTAAGAACAAGAATCTGTTTTCAACCAGAATGTATAGGTGCCTTGGATCCTTTTAAGGAGGAAGGTGGGGTAAAAATATTTTAAATAAAAGTAAGTAAGTGAGTGAGCAAGCAAGCAAGCAAACAAGCAAACAAGCAAATGAGCAAGCAAGCAAGCAAACAAGCAAACAAGCAAATGAGCAAGCAAGCAAGCAAACAAGCAAACAAGCAAATGAGCAAGCAAGCAAGCAAACAAGCAAACAAGCAAATGAGCAAGCAAGCAAGCAAACAAGCAAACAAGCAAATGAGCAAGCAAGCAAGCAAACAAGCAAACAAGCAAATGAGCAAGCAAGCAAGCAAACAAGCAAACAAGCAAATGAGCAAGCAAGCAAGCAAACAAGCAAACAAGCAAATAAGCAAGCAAGCAAGCAAAACACTTCCACATCCTCTATCTCTTCCTCAGTAGGAGGGATGTGGAAAAGAGGGAGGCTGGAGTGGTGCATAGGTCATCGTCATTGCTGCATCTCTGGCTGATGCTCATCCTCCTGTCAGTGACCATATAAAGGTTTCCAGACTAAGCCTCCTGAGTCTCCAGCCCAACAAATTTACATAAATTTACAGCCTTGGCAGAACTATTGCATTTGCTATGGAACGCCTGCAATCAGAATCATATGTCTTTAATCTTTCAGGTGTATGACTTTAAAAAAAATCTGACATGCTGATGTTCAAGAAGAAAAGCTTCATCAGTGCTAATTTGCAATCCAATTGAATTATACTGTCACCGGGTTGGAAGCCCTGATCACAGCGCTCTGTGAACTACCTAGTTGTTAGGAAATGACAGAAATCAACATTTCTCTCTTTCTCTCTCTCTCTCTCACACACACACACACACACACAAAAACACACAAACAAAGCCTCCCCCCCAGAGAGTCTCAACTTGAATCACCTGTCAAATAAATTCTATTTCAACTATGTGCTAAATAATGAGTTGTTGATAAACAGTTAACTTCGCTACAAGTTTAATTTACATGTTGTTAATTTTGGTGCCAACTTATCAACCAGCCTGTCAGAGAAATGTTTTTTTTTTAATTTTGACCATAGTTTCCCACTTTCCACAGCCCTCTGCCTTCAACAAGGCTCTGACATACACAGATCTGAGACTAACGTCTGATTTGCAGCATTTCAATTGGTGATCATTATCATCATTGCCATTTTCTGGACTGGTGTAGTTGTAACGGGGAAGGGGTCATAGCTAATTGGTAGAACACATGGGTTTGCACACAGAAAGGGCCAAATACGACTTCCCAGATGTTCTGATAAAGGTATGGGGGGGGCGGGGACACACTCCTGTATGAAACTATGAGAGTTACTGCCAACAACAGTTTTGACAACAGCAACAAAAAAGGTGAAAAATGAAATGCGAAGTATTATTCATTTATTTACTTATTTGGTGAATTCTGTATTTTTTCTTTCATGGTAGACTGCTCTCATGTGGTGGAAATGTAAAACATGTAAAGGTTTAACACTATACAGTTAATGATTGAGGATGATGGGATTTTATATGTTTAAAACATAAAGATTAAGGAAAGCGATCTGCCCTAAAACTTGGATCTTAGCTGCAAAGGAAGTCCTGTGCTCTACCAGAAACAGTGACGAATGAATATTTTTGTTGAGTTGATATAGATTACTAAGCTATTGTAGAAAGTATAGTGAGGCCCTCACCTATTTAGGTCTCACGCCCGAAAAACAGAAGATGCAAACTAAAAATGATTGATGGCCAGTCTCCCATGGACAATGTAATTTGAGAAACACTTTCAGAAATTTGGATTTGAAACAAAACCAGTCTGAGGGAGATTTTTTGAAAGATGGACAACAAAGCTTGGATGATTTATATGGCCCCTCTCTTCAGGATAGCTGTCAATGTAGCCCTGAATGTCTTATCTACCTGTGAGGATGGCAAAAACTAAGAGAAGGGTGCCCTCAGAAGAGCTTAGAAGCCAAGGAGGAATGATATGGTTTTTCAAACAGCCTGGATGAAAGCTGTATAGGGCCTTAGAAGTCTTAGCCAGAACTCTGAACTGGTTCTAGAAATGGACTGGCAGCCAGTGAAATTGTTGTCATACAGGAGTTCTACGTCTCTGCAGCTACAGTCTGTCCACAGTCTGGCGGTACTGTTTTGAATCAGTTGATGTTTCTGAACACACTTCAAGAGCAGCCCCATGTACAGCATGCTGCAGTAATCAATGAAGGTAACCACGCCTCCTAGATGTATTTATTCACCATCTCAGAACCTGGCTAAGGAAAAAAGCCATGAGCCATGGGACAGGGAGGGGGTAGAGGTGGGATCCAGCATTTCCTGAGCCTGCTGCTTCTCTGCTTAAACCTTCGTCCCCTGCCCCCTGAATGTTTTACAGTGCCATTTGACCATGGGGGCACAGCAATAAATCTCGCTCCTGCTTTAGGCTGCAAGCTTGAGAACTGTTCTTCTTAAAATAAAAAGCCCATCGTTAACTATGCCGCTTTAAACACTTCACCGACACTATCATTTAAAAAGTTCAGGCTGTTCTTCCATTCAGGACAACATCTGACCAACCATTATGCATTCTATAATGATTCCATTAAGTTTCATTATTCAGAGGCTGTTCCGTGCGCCTGGGTTTATTTGGGTTTTAAACATAAGCTGAGTGGGAGAAGTTGCTTCCAAGGTCTCAGACTCCTGGCGGTGGTGGGGAGGATCCACCGAGACCATAATTTTCCGTTTGGCAATGATCTTTCAACCCTCTACAGCAAGACAGTAGCTTTTATACTGAATACTCCTTCTGAGTGTACATGTCAGGAGTTGTATAACTTGTTGTATAATAAACATATTTAAAAAGAAGTTTGGACCAGATAAAAGCAGGGCCGCATAGATCTGAGCAGGGGTGGGTGACCCGTTGTCTTCCGGATGCTGCTGGGTGCCCATCCTTTCTGACCATGAGTCATGCCAGCTTTATCTGATGGGAGCCAGAGTTCTACAACATCTGGAGAGAATGGGATCGCCATCTGCCATCAGAGGCCGTCCCAAAATACACGTCCAGTTAGGTACAGTTTCACACATCTGGAAGGACTGGCAATGGATTGACTTAAACGGGAAACTATGGACCTGATTTGGCAAACTCTAGAACAATGGTACCTAACTTTAGGTTTCCCAGATGTTCTTGGAACTGTTGTGCTGGCAAGGGCTTCTGGGAGTTGCAGTCCAAGAACATCTGGAGACCCAAGGTTGGGAACCACTGATCTAGAATAATCTCGTAAAATCCTGAAGCATATCAGAACTCATATCAGAACACACATAATCACACACCAATCAACCAGCAACATATATTAATATTAATATAATAGTGTTGCATGTATTTCTTGGGTACTTTTTGTTAAAATAGGGCTGGAATACTATGGATCTTTCTGATGTTATCGGTCTCTAAGACTATACATTAACTCGTAGCCTGGTCAACTGTGACACGTCATGGAGTTGTAGCTCTGGAGAATTAGAGGTTTGCCATCTGTGAAACATTTGTGCATTTCCACATGTGGTGAAGTCTAACTGTCCCAGTTGGCTATAGCCATCAATGGGACTCATTAAGTCAATACTTATGGAACTCTACTTGATTTACTGAGTCTACTCTAGTTGGGACTAATACCGTATTTTCCGCACCATAAGACACACTTTTCCCCCACAAAACAGGGAGAGCAATACTTATGGAACTCTACTTGATTTACTGCGTCTACTCTAGTTGGGACTAATAATTAGGTTTAGCAGAAAGAGATGTCGATTGGTGCGTCTTATGGAAAGGTGCGTCTTATGGAGCGAAAAATACGGTAATTAGGTTTAGCAGAAAGAGATGTCACAAATTCATCACGATCACAAGGACTAACCTACAAGAGAATTAAAAGCACCTCTTCCCCATGTCCTCTGGCAATGCTCACCTCTGGCCAGGGAAATGGGGTGGGTGACTGAGGCTTTTTGCTTTGGATTCCTTGCCCCACCCCCAGGAAAGAGTTTTCAGAGTGGGCACAAGACTGTGGTGGGGGAAAAGGCGAGACATTTCCCTTGTGCTCACAAATCACTAGAATACCGCTCAACAGATGCATCACACACATTCATAAAAATGAATGCATACGATGCTAGGATCATATTTCAAACTGAGATTTACAAGAAGCATCACAACTGGGCTAGACGACAATCGAGGAAAACGTGATTAGCCGTGCAAATGGTCTGCTTCAAGCTCAGATTTCGGTTAGACAAGTTTCCATGCTGAAAAGTGACAATGGACGAAAATGATCGGTGTCTACCTGAGTGATGTCCATCCCAGCATCACAGCTCAGTGGCTGCGTTGATGTGAGGCCATTTGAGCCTATTAAGGTTGTGATCATACCATTCCCATCAATCTTCCGAATCATGGTTCCGTCAACAAAGTAAATGAAGCCGTGCTTATCTACAGTGATACCTGTTGGGAAAGAGGAAAGAAAACTAAGCAACAGGACAACCAGAGGTTAGAACCCCCAAAATGCCCCTTTTATTTGTTCTGAGAGTTTTTGTGTGTGTGTGTGTGTGTGTGTGTGTGTGTGTGTGTGTGTGTGTGTGTGTGCGCGCGCGTGTGACAGAGAGAGAGAGAGAGAGAGAGAGAGAGAGAGAGAGAGAGATCAAACTAGAGATGGGCATGAACTGGTTCATCCCAGTTTGTAAAACTGACAGCACAAGTGTGGTTGCTCCCTGCCTCTGCCTCCTCCAGCAAGCAAGCTGGGCCTGGTGAGTGAGTGATTGACTGAGGAGGCAGGGGGAGTGCAGCAGCAGTAGCTGAACTGCCACCTTTACAAACCTGCACGAACTGGGATGAACCACTTCATGCCCATCTCTAGATAAAAGGTAGTGTACTCAACATGCAAGGAGGGGGGGGTCTCACTAACCCCACACTTTCTCTGTCTCTACTTCCCGCACCCTCTTATGCATAGTCTGAACTGGAGAGCCTTGTCTATCTGTGAGGGGTCCTCCATGAGAGTTGGAAGCATAGAAAACAAGGCTTTTGGTACTTCCCGCACCCTCTTATGCATAGTCTGGAGAGCCTTGCCTATCTGTGAGGGGTCCTCCATAAGAGTTGGAAGCATAGAAAACAAGGGTTTTGGTGGGCAAGAAGCACCAGTTTGGTGGTTTGTACTGTTGTATCCGTCGGTCCAACAGGTGTTCTGTGGTTCCGAGCTCTGCCTCCCCTGGCAGGCACCCACTCAGAGGCAGTGCCCAGACGAAGGTGGTTCCGAGCTCTGCCTCCCCTGGCAGGCACTCACTCAGAGGCAGTGCCCAGACGAATTGGGGCAGGAAGGCTGGGGAGCTGCCTTTGACTGGGCATCTGACAGAGGCAGCGGGGCTCAGAACTGTGGGACATCTGTCGGGCTGATCGATGACATGGCAGTTCATGGCCATCTCTAATTATCATTGCAACAAGAGATAGGGAGATAGGTGGATCGACAGAGAGGCAGATCGAGAGATAACATAACTCTCTGCATTTGACATTCTGATGTATTAGAATTATATTTGACGCTTTTCGGTATGATCCATCTGGAGCTGGGAATTATCATCAGTACTTCGGGTAGAAACCTCCATAACTGCAGAAGCACACCAAAAAATTGAGAGAAGAAATACTACCGGGGTGTGTATGTAAATGATCTGTAATATCACAGGGAAGACCAAGCATACTCCCGAGGCACAGAATGGTGGCTGATAATTCAGGGGAAAATATGGCAAATCCATGGGAATTTTTACAACCTCGCATGCTGCCTTTAGTTTGGCTGGCTGGGAGGGACTTTTCTGGGCTGGGGTGGCTGTCAAGTACTAAACGAATAGTTCCCTCCTGCCTATGATTTCAAAGAGAGCTCCACTTCAGTGCTGAGAGCTTTCCCCCTCTCTTTGGTCAGCTCAGGTTTGTTGCTGAAAGCAGTCACGTTTGTCAGTTTGATCCGTTCAATTGTAAGTAATGAAGCCTTTTATTCTTTCTCCTTTGAATGTCTCAAGAGTGAGTTACTGAGACTGCCAATGCCAGTTATTTACAAAAATAAGGAGTGGACTAATCTGGGGCATTTGAACCTATTCTGCTCTGGGAACCCCTGCACTTCTGCTGTGCATCTAGGAGGAATTTAACGTAAAGTTCAAAACTCAGCAACAAAATCAACAAGGAGAAGAAATAAAATGAAATATTCTAAAAGGGAGTACACTTTCTCTCCCAGCTAGGAAAAAAAATGGTTAACATCAACAAGTTTATCCTTATGTTTGGGAGAACAGCTGCCAGAGTCATCACAAAATAAAAGAAGAAGAGAACAGCGAAACCTATTGTGGCATGGCATCTAGTGTGTTTTTAAGGCTTAGAGATGTCGGTGCAATTTGTAAATTAACTAACGGTACAGTTGCTATTGTTGTGTCAGCCAAGGCGATAGGACTCAGCCAACTGCAATAGCGGATATAGATTGTTGCCTAAAGCTACGTATCCCATTGACCTTTTTTTGTCCCCACCAAGCTAGTCAATTTATACTATTGACATCCCATTCAGTATCACTCCATCTCAAGCTGGCATGGTATTATTTCCAGATCATGCTGTTTTGGGTGCTGGCCGTAGCCGTGGGTGGATAGATGGTTAGCTCTGTTTCTATACATGCCATTCCCCTAGCTGGCTCTTTCCTTAGCTTGCACTTGGAAAGCAACAACACGCATGCACTTTAATATCGTGCGGTTTAGTTTGGGCCTCAGTGTTAAAACAGCACACTATGGCAGTTTCACTGTTAGAAGGAGAACCAGCTTTATCCCACCAGAGACACATCTGTAACAACTCCAGTGTTTCCATAACCGACATCTAAACAAAATCCTTTGTTCATCTCCCAATCAACAAGCTAAAGTGAGCTAATCTGCCACTGGCGGAGCTGGGAAATTCCACTGGAAGATAATCAAACATCTATTACTTCTTAAGGCAGTTTTACTTCTAATTGCAAAGCTGCCTTCTTATCAATTTCTATCCTCAGGTGCTAAGGAAGCACAACAAGAAATAATCTAGAAGAACAACTTTCAGGCTCAGTTCTTCAGTACTTGTGCCTTAGCATATCAAACAGGAAATGGAGAATTTTCCCCAGCATATACATCTCAGTGCTTCATGAGCGATTCGAGCAGGCATGAAGACATACGGGTCTGAAGCTGTGCTTATGACAGAGATGGGCAATTTGGGACTGTTGTCGGACGGATTTCTCATTATGACTTACCATTGTTGGGTAGAGTAGATGGGAACTGCACCTCAACAACGTGGGGGAATCCCAAATCATACGCCGTAATTTAAAGTATGAATGAGGGAAAACGCTGGAGTGAAAGAACCATGAATCCTTAGAGGAAGAACCTAGGACAAGCCATGAGACAGAGGGCTTGTCCAGGCCACCAATTTTGTTTCCTACAAGGGCCAGCTACAAATTTCGGCAAAGTCCAAGCAATGTGAAAATAACAAGAGTTTTCCCCCACATTTCTGAGTCCATGAGACCACACCCTTCTTCCTGTTACTTTCTCTGTTAGCCTCCTTCCCTCCCTCCTCCATTTTCAGCTCTCCAAAAATAGATAAATGGAGATGTAGCCCCACCACAGCTAGTGGTGAAGGCTTCTAGGAATTGCAGTCCAAGAACAGTCCAAGAACACCTGGATTACCCAAAGTTGGGAACCACTGTTCTAAATGGATCATATACAGAACTTCTCATATATCATGTCTGAAAGAAGCCTCAAAATCTAACTGTGGTCCTCTCCCCTGCTTTATGAAACAAAACTGTGGAATTATCCAGCAAAGAAGTTTAAATTGCATGTTTACCACTACAATGAATATATTTCAAGCAGATGTATAAATGGAAAAAAAATAAAACACATGCATTTGATTTGCATAGTCTATGGCTGGATTTTTTTGCAGTTTTTTTTATGGTACTGTCCTTGACTGTCTGCTTTTTGAAGCTCTCTAACACACACGTCAAAATTCATCTTCCAAAGAATTTGCATATGAAAACTCCTTAAAGTTCCTGGAGAGATCTGATAACAAGCAAAATTCAACAGTATTTTTTGAAAGAATTTGAAATCTCCTCATAAAACGTTTAGTAGGAAAAGTGAATCCAGTTGGTTAAATTTATGGTTATAAAAGAGAAAGCTGCAAGCCATCAATTTCCAAACTTTGAAATGTCTTTGGTAATTTTAATTAAACCCAAGAAACCACTAGCACAATTTTATGTGATTAGTTATTTATAGGCTACTGAAATACACAACGAAAAATAAGATACAACTGACTTCAAAGTTAAAGATTTATGATCTCTCTCTTTTTTAAATTGCATTTAAACTACTTAAAAAGGTAAGAGCAAACAATATCCCTGTACTTTCAGTTCTGGATCTAACATGCCTTTGTACATTCTCGTATAAGACCATGAAGTTATACCTTTCAATACCTGCTGGATAAATATAGGAATATTTAGAGATCAAGGTTGATAAAGAAGATGCAATTAAGGCAAGTCGCTTGACTTACTAAATACTTCTGTTAACAGTTAAAAAATGAATTCTTGGGTCAGAGGGAAAAAGAAAACTCATTTCATGCCACTGAGCTATGGGTATTTGTTTTTCAGAAAGCTCTCTCTTTATTCCGAAAAATCTGAAGAGGCTAGGTTAACTCTTAACTTGTACTCTCTGTATCTGATTAATAAAGTAGATTAACCTATTTTAAATTAAGTTCTACCAGAGGAGGAAAAAAAACCTCTGTGCATCCCCAAAGATCAGAACCATTGAATCAGAGATGGGGCTCGGGTTGTGAGACTTAAGTCTCACTAGTGACTCAAAGACCAGCAGTCATAAGATCGAATCCACGCGACAGAGTGAGTGCCCGTCGCTTGTCCCAGCTCCCGCCAACCTAGCAGTTCAAAAGCATGTAAATGCGAGTAGATAAATAGGGACCACCTCGGTGGGAAGGTAACAGCATTCCGTGTCTAGTCGCGCTGGTCACGTGACCACAAAAACTGTCTATGGACAAACGCTGGCTCTGTGGCTTGGAGACGGGGACGTGCCTGGACTAAATGTCAAGGGGAACCTTTACCTTTACCTAGTGACTCAACTCACACTCAATATTTTTTCTTCAATGACTCAGATTTGCCTCACGACTCATCCACCCCTTCCATTTTTTTTTCCTGGGGGGAAAAACTTATCATTAATAGGGACTCAGACTTGGAGCTTGAGACTCAGTACCAAAGACCTGGATTTGAACCTGGGACTCAGATCCAAAGACTAGCCAACACCCCTGCATTGAACTATTAAACCCATTATGTCATTTATACCATGAAAGGAAATGAGCTGAGTGGAATGGCTGAAGTACTGAAGACAAGCTAGATGTGAAGAGGGCGGTTCGAGAACGCCATGTGGGAGAGTGATGTTTTTCAGAGTCATCTCTTCTAGTAACTGGGTTTAGTCAGCCCTCCCACTGTCATCAACTGTGGGTTGCCTCCCTCTTTTACCAGATCATCCCTTAACAGCAAAATATGTGTCTCGCTTCCACGTCCCCACCAGCTCACCAATTCCATCGCTAGCAGTATCAGCACTGAGTAATTTAAAAGGTTTTTGTTTTTATGACATTGGTAAATTTGAAACCTCCATCTTAGGAAATGCATTAAAACACTTCTCCCCCAATTGCTCAAATAAGACAAAGCAGATAATTGCTTTCTAATTAGATATAATCAGTTCCCGTCAGGAAATAATACACTGGTTCCTTTCCTGAATAAGGATACAACATAATAAAATTTCACCCGTGTATAGAACTGATTTCCTGCATTAATTACTAGCCTGCAGATTAATGTTTACTTGCACTTATTCCATGCATATTTTCCACCATCAATCTCTCAAACTATAATTACAATCAGTTATTAGCTAATTTACAAATGAGGGTTCTTGTGTGTGTTGACCATTGTACTGACTCACAGTTTATTAGAATTCTCTACTGTTCTATAGTTTATTTTCTTAGCTCACAGTTTAGAAGTGTGTATGTGAATGTCAAAGTTTTCCTCACAATTACAAATTAGGATTTTGCCATGTTGTTGTTGTTTATTCATTAAGTCGTGTCCGACTCTTCGTGACCCCATGGACCAAAGCATGGCAGGCCCTCCCAGCTTCCACTGCCTCCCAGAGTTGGGTCAATTTCATGTTGGTCACTTCGATGACCCTGTCCAACCATCTCGTCCTCTGTCATCCCCTTCTCCTCTTGCCTTCACTTTTCCAACATCAGGGTCTTTTCCAGGGAGTCTTCTCTTCTCGTGAGATGGCCAAAGTACTGGAGCCTCAGCTTCAGGATCTGTCCTTCCAGTGAGCACTCAGGGTTGATTTCCTTCAGAATGGATAGGTTTGTTCTCCTTGCAGTCCAGGGGACTCTCAAGAGACTCCTCCAGCACGACAATTCAAAAACATCACTTCTTTGGCATTCAGCCTTCTTTAGGGTTTGCCATGTACTTGAGGATTAAAGTTCCAGAAACAAGTCAGGTAAGAGTTCAGTGCTTCAAAGAAACTCGACACCCTTCCAGGAGATGCAGAGTGCTCACCATTCTAAATTGTTTGCATCAGGTATTAATGGTTTTTCTGCAAGCCAACTTTTCAGTGTCAATTCAAATGCATGGCTGGTGGGTTTTTTGGGTTGTTGTTTTTTTTGTAAGCCCAAAATCCATGAGAGTACAGTAAGACCACTTGGTATTTAACAAAAACACAGAGATTGATTTGAAATGTTACATTCTCCTAGGAAATCATAGATGTGGTGGAGATAAAAATGTTGGAGAAATTATCAGCATTGGCATTGTTGTTGTTGTTTAGTCGCTTAGTCGTGTCCAATGCTAGTTGGGATTTCAATCCCTCGCTGTGCGTCCTGGGAGAAGAACCAGCCTATGTAGCTTTGGGCAAGCTGCACAGCCCCAGAGAGCCCTAGAGTGGTCATCCTTTTCTGACTATCTAAATAAATCTGTAAAGGGTTGCTGCAAATGGGGAATGGTTCATAAATACTGTTGTTAACTAGAGTAAACACATCAATTCAATAGGACTCACAGCATTCTTCAGAAGTGTAAAAAAAACCCTCCACAACCAAACTCAATATATTTGTATCTGGGGTGTTTGTAAAAAAAATCTCTTACCTCGAGGGCTATGAAGGGATGCCTCGGAAGCCCGTCCTCCATCCCCACAGTGGCTCTGGTCAAATGGAAGGCACTGGTCCCCGGTGCCTGCCACCACCTCATAGTTTTTCGCCAAATCCTTCATTTCGCTGAGCAATTTCACTTTGTAAACCCTTCTGGTATTTGTATCTGACAGGTACAGGGATTCCGTGACTGGATCCATGGCCAAGTAATATTTGTGAGCTGGACTAGTGCTAAGAAGACAGAAAAGAAGGAAGACAAAATAAGCCGAGAATTAACCGGTAACTGTACAAGAATTCACCTTTGTTCTGCATTTCCTGCAGTCATTTTTGTACAAACGTCAAGTAGAAATCTCACAAATGATATGAAGGAAGCTGCTGCACAATGAAGCATTCCAGGTGGACACAGAAGAAGGGATTGATGCTTTGATCCCCTGCAAGACACTCTCTGTTATTTCAAGTTTTATGCCTTCCCAACAAAGGGGCAATGGAAGATCCAGCAGGTCAGAATCAAAAAATGCACAGGAGTGTCCCATTATTCACACATTCAAGCAATTTATTGTTAAAATAAGGATATTGACTGGGCCCCTTCTCACAGCAAAAACGTATTCCATTCCTTAAAGTATTGTTGCTATAATAGTGCTTGCTTGCTTGATAGCTAGATAGCTAGATAGCTAGATAGATAGATTGGTTGGTTGGTTCTTTCATTCATTCATTCATTCATTCATTCATTCATTCATTCATTCATTCATTCATTCATTCATTCATTCATTCATTCAAAGTGAGCCCAAATCTGGAGACGTTTTTCTGTTTCTGCAAATGTTCAAACAAACTCTTTCTCAAGCCCTTTCTATGGGCGTGCCTTTAATATGTTGCCAGCCAGCTATCTTTCTTATTCAGGATTTTTTTGGTTTGTGCTGATTCGTCCTTTGGACAAACAGGTGTTCAGTGCTGGGAAAGCAGTATAAAAATATTTTAAATAAAACTAACAAATAATCCTTTGTGTTTGTTCTGCCATTAGTTGCCCCTGGGTAGGACTACCTGTTTCTCCTCTGGCGTCCCAACAGGTAGGGTTAGGACCGCTAGCCACTTGGTGAAGCTGATTTGGAGTGATGTTCTGTCAGAAGCAATATAGCATCTTCTGGGTTTAGAGACCTTCGGGCGGCTTGATACCAAGCCAGGAGGCCGTCAACCTCAAGGGGAAGAGGCATAAACAGAGAAAGAGGCCCAGAAATGATTCGTGGTCCCTCAGATAAATCGTGGGCAGCTTTTATTCAAAAACTGTTTCACTGCAGAGAGAGGAAGTTGGCACTACCAAGCAAGCTACTCAAAGAAAGGACAGGCCATGAGTACAGCTGGTTTTTTTAAGACATAATCTCAAGGACATTGTGGAACAGCCCTCGAGCCTTCCAACAGCCTTTCTGGGACTCATCCAATTTTTTGTTGTCTTTTCCAGAATATATCTTTGGTCAGTGCCTGACCTAAGGAAAGTGTCTTGGCTTCTCTATTCAGAACAAGAACATCTATAAGAACAGCTCAGACAAGTTGCCCCCACCCAACTTGTATCTTCCTCTCCTGGCAGGCTTTTAATAACTACAATGAGTCCCTGGATGCTGAATTTTTATTCTTCTACATGCCCTTTGGAACTTTAAAAATTCTAATCAATTGATTGGTTTTCAATTATTATTGCATATTTATTTTTTAACCTTCCCATTTATTGTGTTCTTAAGGTGACTTGCTTTAGTGAGTCCCATGGCACAGGGGTTGAACTGCAGTAAAGATTCTGCTCACAACCTTGGGTTTGATCCTGACAGGCTCAAGGTTGAGCTTTCCATCCTTCCGAGGTCAGTAAACAGAGTACCCACTCTCTAGGTGGGAGGCAACATGTAGCCTGCATAATTAAATTGTAAACCTCCCAGAGAGTGCTGTAAGCGCTATGGGAGAAGGGCTTAAAGCAAGAGAAAGGTGGCCTAAAAAGGAAATTAATGAACAAATAAGTTTTAATGCAAAATATGAAGAAATTCTGACTACATACGTAAGATAATCTTGTGTCCCTGGCAGATCCCAAAGGAACTTTCCTTTAGCGGGAAGCACGACGTTCATGAGAGGTATGTGACCCCCCCCTTCTTTGCAAAATTATGAGCCTGACTGCTCCAGAATCCTCCAGGGGACTAGAAACCTACTTTGTTTTAGGAAACAAACACTTCTAATATGTTATACTTCGAAGAACCTGGAAGAGGTCACCTTAAATCAGAATGGATGACACAACACTGGGAGGATTAAGGGCCTAACCACATACTATTTTCCTTATGCAGCCTGCATTCAGGAATTTAACTTTCTGCTCATTGGCTTCACTTTCTATTTTGTCCTTATTTTCAACTCACAACTGCTTCTGGATCTCTGCTTCTACTTGGTTCTGTTGGGTTCCAGGTCTTGTTTCTCTAGTAATCTCCAAATACTTCTTATGCTAAGCATTGTGAGGTTAATCTTTGCCTGGTGTACCATTTTCCAACCTGAGTGGTTGCATGAATCGGTCTTCGTGTCTATTCTCTTTTTAATAATAGCAAGAAAACTTCTCCATAGGTTGTCTGTGTGTGCGCCTTATTAAGGGGAGACTTAGGTACCAATTCCTGATTGACAGCCTTACCCCGCCCCCAATTTTGTTAGAGGTTTTTCCTGGGGTGCTCAAGGAGGGGATTCAGGGCTTCGACCTTGCCTTCCTAGGGTCTCAGGGGCATCCTGTAAGGTCTCAGAGTCTTGACATAGAGATTGACATAAAGGTAGTCTACCTTGCAAGATTATTGTTAGATTATGCCTAGTTTAGCTGCATCTAAGGCTAGGTCTTTCATAATCTCTGGCTGAAATCCTGTCGTGTAGCTACCCCTGCCTAATTTGAAGTTGCGCAAGGTGGCGTGAAATCTGCACCAAGGTAGGAGTCGTATCCAGGAAGCAGCTGTGTGTGGAGTTGCACAGTCAATGGCACAGTCTGTTGTGTAGTTAATTGCATGGTTACCGGTAGTTGTGTAACCAGTGAAAAGTCAGTAGTCCGCTGTGTAATCAATTGCATGGTTGGATGTATGGTTAGTTGCATGGTTAGTTGTGCAGTTAACTGTGCAACTAGTTGTGTGATCAGGTACCCGATTGGCTGGGCTAGCTCTCCACAACCTTCCACAGGTGTAACACCAAGTACAATGGGATTTCAGCCTCTGTTACCAAATGAATTACATATTACATTAGACTATTGCATTGTATTGATTAATTCTGAGAAGTCTCTTGCCACTCACAGTAGTAAGTTTAATGAGCAGACATTTTGTGGCTTTCCCTCTTCAGCTATATTACACTTCCTTTCTTCAGTATGTAAGTTTGCCGCCAAGGGAGTTCTAATAGAGGGTTAGAGAGGATCTTGAACTTCCATAATGAAGAGTGATTAGAAGAAGCTTGTGAGATAATGAGTTTGCTAATTAGAGACTGATACTGCAAGGTGTCTATTATCATCCATCGACATTACAGCACCTTGATGGAGCGTGGTTATGAGCCATCCTGGTTTGGTGCTGGCACTATTACGTTATATTTGATCAAGGACAGGTTAAATGAAGAAAGGAGTTAAGGGACAATACTTGAGGGCTGAGGAGCCAGGATGTAAAGGAAGTTCATAAAGAACCCCTCCAAAAGAGACAAGGTACACAACGTCGAGGAGGGCTGAAATAATGGTAGGACAGGTATTAGCAGAAAGGATGAAAAGGTATTTCTGAGGAAAGCCAAAGCGGAGCCATGCTACCAGTTGATACCGTCAACGAACATTAACACAACAACTGGAATCCTGTTTGGGAAGCTATTGCATGTGAGGCTCTTGATGAAAAATAGTCCCTCAGAATAAGAGGCAGACATTTCTTTCATTTTTTTTAATCCAGGGGTTCCCAACATTGGGTCCCTAGATGTTCTAGGACTACCGCTCCCAGAAGTCCTGGCCAACACAGCCCGTGGTGAAGGCTTCTGGAAGTTGTAGTCCATGAATGTTTGGTGACCCAAGGTTGGGAACCACTAGTTTAAATCAGGGTCGAGAGTCAGCTCACACTGCCTTTTTTGGCTTTCTGAGGTAAACTGTGAAACAGAGACATTCTTCAAGAAAGGAGAAGGACAGGCCAGGTGTCAACGGGGTCAGGCAGAGATGTAGGTTCACCCCTTTCCTGAAGACCACTTGAATGGTTCTTCCCCCCCAGCCTCACCTTAACATTAACAGAATTGCTTGCAAGAGGGAAGGGTGGAGTGGGAGGGACATTTATTCCACCTGAACAGTGTGGAGAAGCAGGACATAAATGTGATTGACAAGTAAATAATAAATAAAGACCAGCCCTGCAGAGGAGAATTCCTGAGAACTCTTTCCAGTGTTAACCTTGAGTGTCCTCATTTCTCACAGTGGGATGGAGGGTGGGGGGAAGTATTATGGAGAAATGGAGAATATGGCAAAAAACCAGAAATCCGTATCCCCGATTCTCAGCCACGAAGCCCCAGTTTCCTTACCTGTGCCTCGTGTCTCTGTTCCTTAAATGGCAAATTCATCCAGGAACACCATAGAAAAGAGAAAAAAACAAACAAAAAAACAACAACACAAAGTTAGCACCCATCAGCATACTAACGATATGGTTAGGAAGTGCTGCTGCTGTTAAAAACTAGCATTATGTGGACCAAGAGGTGCAGATGTAGCTGGATTATAATTGCCATCAACCCGATCCAGTGTAGCCAGTAAGGACGGATTACGGGGGGCCTGAGTGGATCTCCCATTTCAAATTCTAAACCAGTTACCGGGAAGGTGTGAACCTCCAAATGCATGTCTGTATTTATTAACATTAATTTTTTGCTAAAGTGGGACTGCCGTATCCACAGTTTCACTTATCCGCTGCCCCGGGACTGATCCCCAGATGGAACCAGAGACTATGCTATATAAAGGCGGCTTAAAGTCAATGCATTCATGGCCGGATATCTCACAGGGAAGCCGCATTTGCAAGGGAGGGGAGGTGTTGCTCGTTTCAGGGAAGCCTCCCTTGCAAACAGAAGGGGGGGGGAAATCCAATCATTTGGGAAGACTAGGCCAGGGCTCCCTCTCTCAACCATGTACAGATACCAAAGGAATCTGGTACTTCCAGCATCTGCACAGGGGCTCAGAGCTGATCCCCTGCGGATACCATGATCCTACCACATCACGAGAGCATCTGCACAGGGGCTCAGAGCTGATCCTCTGCAGATACCATGATCTTACCACATCCATGCTTTCCTGGCATGGATTACAAGGCTTTCTGAGTTGACAGAACTGAAGACATGATGACAGCTTCCAGAACCCTGGCTAATGTGAGAGCCTTCAGACCATCAACCTGGATCTGGTAATGTTTCCTGAACTGGGAGGTCATGACTCAATGTCTTCTGATGAACATTTTCAGGAAGGAAAGGAGGAAGGAAGCAGAACTGAGGAAGATGGCAACTGACGTCAGATGCCTCTGAAGCTTTTGGGGAGCTAACCTCCCAAGATCAGATCTTACGCCTCGAAGAAAGGGGAGGTAGCGCACATTCTCCCAGGTTTTATTAGAGCATTGGGACCGAGCCCTTGAAAAGCCCTTGAGCGCTTTCAGAGCGAGTGAATCTCTCTGTCTCACCACGGATGCTTTGCCTGAAAGGAATAACTTCAGAAACGCAGGAAAAGCAACCTCCTCCCACACACCAGCCCTTCCTGAGTCATGATCCTGAAGGCAATACCAAAGCATAACAAGTCAACACAAGTTGGAGACTTCCTTTGTAAGTTTGCTTCGTGGTGTTCTGTGCTGCTGAGTTGAAATCAGTGGCCCTAATAAGGCCTTCAAGGCAAGTGAGATAGAATGGTGCCTCACTTTACGATTGCCCTGCATTACGACGAAACCGCATTATGACCAATCTAGACCATTACACGGTGGTCTAAATGGGGTTTTTTCGCTTTGCGATGATCTGTTCCCTGCTTCGGGAACCAATTCTTCACTAAACAATGTTTTTTAAACAGCTGATCTGTGGTTTCAAAATAGCCGCCAGGTAAACAAAATGTCTCCTCGCTGTTTTCTGGGACAGATTCCTCGCAAGACAGGCAGCAAAAATGGCTGCCCTATGGAGGATCTTCGCTGGATGGTGGGGTTTCAATGCGTTTCAGTGGGTTCTTTTCACATTACGATTTTTTCGCTTAACGGCGATTTTCCTGGAACGGATTATCGCTGTTAAGTGAGGCACCACTGTATTGAAGGAGTGGTTTCACCAGTTCCATCCACCTTGCCCACCATGAATTTCCATGGCCAAGGAGGGGTTCGAACCCAAGTCTCCCAGGCTGTCACTCGATCTACTACACGACAGTGAGCATCCCCGTTTGCTTTCCCACCATATTCTGTAAGCCTTCCAACGTTTCCTACCTGAGTTCCAGGATGCTGACGCAGTTTCCTGAAGGAAGGAGCCTCCGGACAAAGTTGAAGTCTCCGATATAGATGCTGCCATCGGTCCCAGAAGCCATGGCAACAGGTGCGAAGAGTTTGCTGCCATGAGACGGGCCGTTGCAGTTGGTGCAGGAAATGCTTCTCTGGTGGCCATTGCCCATGACGGTCGAGATGATTGGTGGCTGCTGGGAAATGAAGATGTTCTCTCCGTTTCCTTTATGTACAATACCTAGTTTAGAAATCCACATGGAGAGAGACACACAGTAAGGGCATATACTCTTGTAGGCAACATTTTGCTTGATCCTGACTGGCATGGATCTCAACGAATCATCCCTGAAGGAAGGAAGACGTGGAGAATTTCTAGTCAAATATGACTGAAGAGCAGCCTTTAGAAAGGAGCGAACAGTGTGGCAGTTAAGTTTTAGTCTTTCCATGGAGGCTAAGAGCTGGTGATCAAAACGACAACGGGACTATAACAGTGTCATTCTGCTGGCGAAACCGTTGGAAGCTTTTGCAATCTCGCATGCTGCCTTTAGTAGGTTTGGTTGGGAGGAATCTTTCCGAGCTGGGGTGACAGTCAAACTCTGCAGCATGAACCAATCGTTCCTTCCCTGCCTCTGAATTCAAAGAGAGCCTCACCTCTCTGCTTGGTGCTCCTTCCCTTGGTCTGTAGGCAGTCAGTAATCTGTTGAAGTCTGTTACTGAAATCAGTCATGTTTTTTTGTCTGATCTTTTCAGTTGTAAGTCATGAAACCTTTTACTTTTTCTACTGTTCATATCTCAGAGTGAGTTATTCAGTCTGTAAGTGCCAAATGATGAGAAAAATGGGTGGATTAAACAGGGAAACTCGACCCTATTTTGCTCCGAGATGCCCTTCACTTCTACCGCTCAGCTAGAGGCATCTAACTCAAAAACCCAAACTGTGCAATGAAAGTGGTTTCCATCAGTGAAAGAGGAAGAGAGGTGCATTCCCTCTTACCCCTTTTTGGGCTCATTGAGTACCATCAAGATGTCCTGGAGGATTAGGAAACCCACTAGTGAAGATCTGGGGGGGTAGTGTGAATGGTTGTCGGGGAGAGCGGAGCAGGAAAATGTGTTATTGGGCATTGGTGCCATTCTGGAGGTCTACCTTTGTCACACAAGGGGGTGATTGAGCTGCAGATTTCCTGCGCTGGCTGGGGGTTGGACCTGATGACCTTTAGGGTCCCTTCCAGCTCTGCCGTTCAGCGATTCTATGCCAATATGAAATAGAAATCACTTGATTCTTTAATGATGTATGATCAAAAGCAAATAAAGTCTTAAATCCCTTCAAGCCTTTTCTAGGAAGTCAGTTCAGGATGTTGTAGAAACAGCGTATTTGGCTGACTTTTGCATTACATGGAGGCCTCACAGGCTGTTGTGAATGAGTCTTTGAGCTCCTCTAGAGCTCTGGGCGCATCTACCCTGCCATTATAAACGTACATACAAAAGAGCAAACCAAGCAGGCCTTTGCCAGGTGTCTGAATAAACATACTTAAACCGCACAATTAGGGAGGGACATTGCAATATCTTTCCCCAATAACTGTGAAATGTCGATTTGAAAATGTGAAGTAAGGAGCACATTAAAGTATGGGTTGAAAAAACAGATTTCCACAGAGGCCTGACATTAAGAAAAGCAAGTTTTTGGAGGCCTGGGCATTATAAGCCAAGGAAGTACAGCAGCAACCGATGGAGAATTCAAATGCGGGATTTTCATTCTGATTTTCATGCAGCTAACAACAGCTTGGGGGTGAATGAATATCTTAGATAAGCAAAACAGCATGGAGAAAAGGGTTAAACACCTGCTCCTTCTGCCACTGCCTTCACTAGCTCCCTTTTAGTAAAAGATAATTTTAAAAAACCACATTGGAAAATCCAATCACAATTCTGCATACTGGATAGCTTGGTCTTGATGTGCACCATTTTATTAGGGTCTAAAACGTACTGATATAGCTCAGCATGTCTGCGTCTCTGATGTACTATCGTTTGGCTTGGTTGACGAGGTGAACATTTCTTTTTTTAAAGCAGGAATCCTAACGTGACACCGAGATTGGTTCTTACCCTAAATCTTCAATACTCATTTTCTCCACAACTTGTACCGAGGGACATAATTTTGTTTTTAACTCCATCATGCAATATTTAAGAACCGGATGCTGGAATGCTGTGGTTCCTAGCCTTAGGTCACCAGATGTTCTCAGACAAAAACTCCCGGAAGCCTTCACCATTAGCTGTGGTAGCCAGGATTTCTGGGAGTCGTAGCCTAAGAACATCTAGGGACCCAAGGTTTGAACCACTGATCTACAGGGTCAAATATTTTCCCTTCTTGCAATAGATGAACACGGCTCATAACATGACAAAATGTATCTGATGTTTCTTCCATTTTATCCACAGAATGGTAAGCACAGGGAAACCAAAAGAAAAATTTCCTTGCAAATAACATATCTCTACATCTGTGGGAAAATATGGAGAGGCTGAGGTGAGAACAATCCACATGGCAGCTGCAAGGCTGATGGAAGATGGAGTCCAGGTCCTCCCTGAACCTGATGCTCAGTGTTGTCTCCTTATTTTGCCGAGACACAAAATCCCACGCACTCACCTGCCTTACCCCTCGGTCTGTGAAATTAGCCTTGGATGGGACATCAAAGAAACCTGCTAATAGTCGTCCACCTTGCCCCATAAGCAAGCATTGTGGTTTTGGGTTCTGCTTAGAAAGCTGATGCAGTGCAACCTGAATATAAATAAAACCCACAGAGACGAAGGGGTAGGAATGCTTCCTGCTCACAGATATGTATGTCTGTAGTTGTGATTCTCCTTTCCTTATTTCTACATTGCTTCCTGCCTCAATATTGGCACAGTCCACATTATTCGTTGTTGGAGTTTTTACAATCTCGCATGCTGCCAGTAGTTTATTTGGCGGGGAGGACCTTTCTGGGTTGGGACGACTGTCAGTCTAGTAAAGGTAAAGGTTCCCCTTGACAATTTTTGTCCAGTCGTGTTCGACTCTAGGGGGCGGTGCTCATCCCCATTTCCAAGCCACAGAGCCAGCGTTTTGTCCGAAGACAATCTTCCGTGGTCACATGGCCAGTGCGACTTAGACACGGAACGCTGTTACCTTCCCACCGAGGTGGTTCCTATTGATCTACTTGCATTTGCATGCTTTCGAACCGCTAGGTTGGCGGAAGCTGGGACAAGCGACGGGCGCTCACTCCGTCGCGTGGATTCGATCTTACGACTGCTTGGTCTTCTGACCCTGCAGCACAGGCTTCTGCGGGTTAGCCCGCAGTGCCACCACGTCCCTGTCAGTCTATCCAACACTAATAAATCATCCCTTCCCACCTCTAATTTCAAAGAGAGCCCCGCCTCTCTGTTGAATGCTCTTTCCCTCTCTTTAATGTGTTGGAAGCTGTTCCTTTGTTTTGCTGTTGACCTGTTCATAACAACAAGTATTGAAACATCTTTATACCTGCTCCTACAAATGGGTCAGAGTGACTTATTGAGACTTTAAGTGCCAGTGAATGAGAAGAGGGTGGACTATCTGTGGAACTTAGAGCTGCTATTCCCTCTTGGACTGCCGAGGACTTGCCAACTTGGTTGAGTATAAATCTTATATGCTGGAGCGGTGAATTGTCAGAGTGAAGTCATGCACGTGCAACAGAAGCGATATCTGGCATTCTAGGGTTTTGAAGATTTCGATGTGCAGCTCATTCTTCTCTATTCTAGACACCCAACCCAGTTGAAGAAGAGCTCCTGGATTTGTGTCCGAATTTGAATTCAAAAAGACAGCTGCAGTTCTACAAGCAACTTCTGTACTGGAGCTGTGGCCAAGGGAGCACAAATTGGAGCATTTTATAATAAATAATAATCTCAGAATGGCAGAGCTGGAAGGGGCCCCTCTGGATCATCAAGTCCAGCCCTTGTCAAGGAGGCCCAGTGAGGAATCGAACTCCCAACCTTCTTGCTCTGTAGCCAAAGGCCTTTATTACAGAGCTATCCAGCGGTTCTCATTATAATTGATCATGTTGTCTAGCATGTAACTGTGAATACGAAGGGACTCACCTTGTGAAATTGTGTTTGCAAGTTCATCAGCGCTTATCTGAGCGGGCCAACAGACCCACAGAACTTAAAAAGTGTGACTCAGGAGGCACAGAATAAGCAGAAACTTTTCCGGGGGGGGCAGAAATGCCCTTCTGCTGGCTGACCTCAGAGATCTGTCAGCAGAGAAATCTGCCGCGTGGGCTAAGATCTGATGGGAGAAGAGCCAAAGAAAGAGGAGGAGAAGCAGTGGAACAAGAGAGGAGATGAATTACATCTGATCCAAAGCCCCTCAAGTCCAGGGAGGCAGCCACAGCGTTGGCATCAAGTCAGGCCAGGGTGAGGGCAGTCCTCTCTAATTTCCAATATCCCTAGGCTGAGAAATCGCTTGGATTCAGCACACTTTCCGCTTGCCTAGTGACAGCTCGGCTCAGCCATTCTGGCTCATTTCATGTGTGCTCCTATTTTAATAGGAAAGGGTTGACAGTTCAATTAATTGGACTAAAAAAAATCACTCAGGAGATGTATATATAGCAGTTGGTGTTAAATTATTGTTTAAGTTTACATTAAATGACTATGTGATGCTTTCCTAGGAAAATTTAATTCACATACACTTCTGGCAGTGAAAGCTTAATAGGTTGGTTAGGGTCGGCAACTTGCAGCCTCCAGCCACTCCCCCCCCCCCAATTTAAATTTGCTTCTGAAAACTGGCACTGTAGTGGCAAACTATCCCTGCAACCTGCTTTTCCCTCGCTCCTTCTTCGTCCATGAATATTTGGGGCTGCTTTGGCAGCCAACCCCTCAGACGAGGAGGAGTCAAGGTGGGGATTCTTGCTGTGCAGCATTTGAGTGGTTGGCTGCCAGAGGAGGCAGGGAAAGGAAGACCAAGTTGCTGCCTGGAGTGAACAGCCACCCTTGGAAGATAACCCGCCTGCGTGTGCTGGCTTGTAACACAATCCAGCATGCAGAAGGTGGATATTCTTGCTGTGCAGCAGTTGAGTGGTTGGCTGCCAGAGGAGGCAGGGAAAGGTAGACTGAGATCCTGCCTGGAGTAAACAGCCACCCTAGGAAGATAACCTGCCTGCGCATGCTGGCTTGTGAGTAACACAACCAGCTGGTGGATGGGTGAGCTGTACTCCCAGGTATTAATTTAGAGGAACTGAGCCAAATCAATTCATGCCCATCTCCTTTGAACTGCAACTCCCAGAAACCCCAGTCAGGACAACTGGTGGTGAAGGCTTCTGGGAGTTGGAGTCCAAAACACCTGAGTAACCCAAGGTTAAGAACCAGTGATTTAGAGGAACTGAGCCGAATCAATTCAAGCCCATCTCCATTTTTTTTAATTTAGTATTTTCAGGCAGCGGTTCAGTGAATTAGTGAATGCCGATCCTGCGGATATATCCTGTGGCCCTGCTGTATATTTAAATGCACACATTCTCTCCCTTTCCTGAAGCATGACTGACTCTTAAGACTGAACTGAAAGAATTGAAATTTCAAATATTTTTAAACCTTATTTATAAGCAACAAGGGACACACTGTGGATTTCTCTTCAGTGTTTCTTACAGGTTTTTAAAGAGCTCTATGCAATACACCAGAGGACTTCCGACGCACACTGACATCTCCTCCCAGGGCAGTAAAAATCCACTCAAATGACAGGAGCCGTTGGCCTTTGTCTGTTGCTAAATGTGGAAAGGCAACTCTTTTTATACACCGATATATAATTAGGACCCTGGGGACGTCATTTCACTGAAATATGTCTCTGCCTGCAAAGTTTTTGTTTACGGTTGACAGTAAAGAAAAGGGTCTTTCATCTGATGTTGTGCTGTGGAGATAAACAAGTCACAAATCTTGATAAAGAACCACTACCATCTGCGGGAAGGAACAGCTCTATGGTTGGATTGGGAAAATTCCATAAAAAAGGACTTTAGAGGTGGATCCATGTGTTGGCCAGCAAATCCAAGCAGTTGTCGGGATTATGGGATTGCAGCCCCATCTACATACAAGGGAATAGGTTAGCCACCACCAGAAGCCTTCTGTTGTTATGTGTTGTCAAATCACTCTAGACTTATAGTGAACCTATGAATGACCAACCTCCAAAATGTCCTGTTCTGAACTGCCCTGCTCAGCTCTTGCAAACTCTATTGCTTCTTTTAAGGAGTCAGTCCATCTCATCTTTGGTCTTCCTCTTCTCCTGTTGCCTTCAACTTTTCCCAACATTATTCTTTTCCAGAGAATCCTGCCTTCTCAGGAGGTGCCTAAAGTAGGACAGCCTCAGTTTCGACATTTTTGCTTCCATAAATAGTTTAGGCTTCATTTGATCCAGGACCCACTTGTTCTTCTTTCTGGCATGTCTGTGTATCCACAAAGTTCTCCTCCAGCACCAACATTTCAAAGAAGACTGACTAGAAGAGGTGTAACTACAGATTTTGGCAACGAGGACAAATGACATTGTCTCCCAGCCACTCGGTGATGATGCTGGGGCATGATCCGCCACCAAGAAAAAGGAGGGGCAGAATGTGGCACCAATCCCACTCAAAAAAATAATGAAAGGAAGTTTTCATTTTCAAAAAAGAGAAAGCAAACAGGGCCAGGAGGCACTGCCATCTGCTTTCGTCACACTTCCAAGTAGATCCATGCCTAGATTTCAGCACTCTCTAAATCTTGGTGCTTGAGACACAACTCCACTTGCCCAGCCCTAGTTCCACTCCTGCTGAAAAACACAGGCTGGTGGTTCCTGCTCTCATGACTACAAAGGATATCAGACATTGAAAAGCCCTGCATATTTACTGGCTAGCACCCCCCCCCGCCCAGGTCCAAGGAAGGCAACGAAAGAAAAAGGAATCATCATCATCCCCAAACTGCTGAGCTGAAAGGGACCCTATGGATCTTCAAGTCCAGCCCCTGTCAAGGAGGCCCAGTGGGGAATCGAACTCCCAGCCTTCTTGCTCTGCAGCCAGAGATCTCAACCACTGAGCTATCCAGCAGTTCTGTACATGCTTTCTGGCAGGCGGGACACCTAAGGCCGTTGATGCAAGACAATTTGATCACATTACACAATTGTTGACATTTTTCTACCTCTTGATCCGAAGGCTGCTCCCACCTCTGCCTCAAAGGAAGATCACTTTACTCCACCAGAAGTGACAAATATGTGCCCCACCAAGAGGGCCTGATTTTCTTCTAAAAGAGGATGTCCCCTCCACCTCCAGTGCCTTCTCAGGCCTCTTCTCTAGCACCGTGCTGCCACCTCCCAGGATCTGCTGCCTGAGTCAACCATGTCCATAGAGCATAATTGTAATACCAGCCTTGTGATTATAGCAGGGACGGGCAATTTCTGCCCTTCTGAATGGCACTAGACTGCATTTCCCATCCGTCCCAACCAACACAATCCATGATGGGCGATGATGGGAACTACAGTAGGACCCCTATATCCGTGGGATCGGTATCTGTGGGATCACTTATTTGCAGTCTGAAAATACTGAAAATACTAAAAGAAAAAAACCAGAAATATGTATTTCCATGATGTAGTTACCAGAACTGGCCACTAGAGGGAGACAGAGAACACGATGTGTATAGGGTTCACTATTATCCAGTTTTCAGCATCCACAGATCTGGAATCAATCCCTCGTGGATATGTGGGTCCTACTGGATACAAGAGTATCTACACATGCATTCTAGGGATCTTCCTCATACCACAATGGAGCTCTCCCTCGTGGATATGTGGGTCCTACTGGATAATCCAAGGGTATCTAAACATGCATTCTAGGGATCTTCTTCATACCACAATGGAGCTCCTGCCAAGTTCAGCTCAAATGCAGGCTCAGCTCAGGAAAGGGGAAACGGCCATGGCCTTTTGATTTGACTTTCATTCGAGCAGTGAGCCTATGGGCTTAACGAAATAAGTAGCCACAATGGCGAACGATAGCAAAGTGCTTCAGGAAGCTCAACAGTCTTACATGGGCTCACTGTCAGGAACACAGATACAGCCACGAATTTGGAGGAAGGTCGCTTGAATGGGAGGATGACTTCCTCTCCTGTTTTAACTGAATCCCTGCTGCTGTTTTTGCAAACATGGATGATTTTCCTCAACCTCTTGCCCCGGCAATTATGTCCCAACAGAACGAATTATCTACTTCAAGTGATTGCTCCAGACTTCAGAAGAATGAAGCTCCTGAATGAGAAAGGCTCTCAAAATGCATTATCTTCAATTCCCTGTGTGTTAATAAGGGATGTACGAATAAGGCAGATCTCAAGCTTGGTGAATTTCTCAGATGGATACCTTCAAGATCATTACAACTTTTGTCAGTATCAGAAGCTGAGCTTTTCTCTCCTCCCCCACCCCCGCCCAAATATACACAATTTGATGCACGTTGTTGAAAAGGACATTTTTCTCTCATTGACTAATGTTTGTACACATTTCCCGAATATATATTGGGCATCATTGGGCATCATTCAGATCCCACTGATTTCCAGTTGTGGATTGCTTTGAAGTGGCCTCCATGAGCTGTGAACTGGATTGATGTGGCTTAATCAGAAGACCGAAACCAATGTCGATTTGAATCAGGGGAGACTAAACTTCACAGCGCTATTTTTTAAAGATTTGTACCATAGCATTAAGTTAATATTTTTCCTTCCACGGCTCAAGCGGATGAGAATTGCTCTTGAGTTTTTAGCACAGATCAAGTGGTAAATTATCTTTGACCTTTCGGCTAATGAAGTTTGAAAGTAGAGGCTTCGCTTTCCCCCCACAGCAATGGTCAAATTGTGGAAGGAAAAAGAAAAGGAATGTCCAGAATTAAATCTGCAAATCCCATCTATGGATCTCCTCACATTCAAGCCAAACCATCCACCCACAACCGAGTCTTAAAACATTAGCTAATGCATTGTTACAAAGGATGAGGGCTCAGGATTACTCCTGCTCCTATTTAAAATAATGAAAAAGAAGAATGATATCTGATGGGTTCCATCATAGCAGTGGTTCCCAACCTTGCGTCCCCAGATGTACTTGGATTAAAACTCCCATAAGCCTTCACCACTAGTTGTGCTGGCCAGGATTTCTGGGAGTCGTAGTCCAAGAACATTTGAAGACCCAAGGTTAGAACCACTGTATCATAGTCTCGGTGAGGAGGCAACAAGCAGTGACAATCAAACTAACTTTTGTGAACACTGCACAGTAAGTGGCAATGGTAAACTCCTGCTAAATATTCCTAACCCCAAAAAACCTTGGATGAGACAGTCCACAATGAAACAAGAGATAGAAATGGAAGATGAGACTCACAGGTCAGGCTAGAACTGAGAAGTGAATTTGGAAAAAAAAACAGCACAACTCACTAACTGGAATACTGATTGAAAAAAAGGGGGAAGAAAGACTCTAAAGTAGAGCGTTGTGGCTCCCTTCAAAATCAGAGGCAGAAAAGGATCAATTCATTACTGCTGGATTGACTGATAGTCAATGGACTGATGGTCCTTCCCAGTCAAACCCCCTTAAAGACAACATATGAAAGTTGCTCAAACTCCAACAGATTCAACAGCACTTTGATCAGATACCAAATCTCTTGGAGGTAAAATTGCTAAAAGTCTAACAATTGCAGTTTCCATGTTGGCAGGACATATACTTACCACTCTGTATATTCAAAATGTGGTGCTTGTCGAGAGACCAGCCTCCCAGATTAGAAGCATCCAGCTCAAATCCTTGCAGAATGGCAGTCCTCTTTTCCCACAGAATCAAATCAGGGCAAGTATCGTACTCATAACCTACTGACACTGTAAGCATATATATGAAAAAAACAATCCATTACAGACTGTGCTTGTAAAAAATTCACGGGATAGTTGTATCATGAACTGATCATGCATATACTATTTTTTTCCTTCTTTTCTCACTATACATTTTCTCTATTACAAACCTTAATCCCTGCTACACTTCAAAGCAAAACTGCATCTTAATGAGTTGGTGGTGGATTTCATTTTGGGGTACTGATCCTAAGAAAGTTATAACCGAGGGAAACATGAAGCAAAATAAAATAAAGTCAAATGAAATAAAACCCACAGAGCATATTCCGGGAAGGAATAAAAATGCAGAAATTTACAGGATTTGCAAAGAGAAGAGATAGAAAAATTTTGAAGAACTTTCAGTTTAAAAAACCCAGCTTTTTAAGATTATAGCTCTCTGAAGCCCCCCCCCCAGTCAGCAAGGCCACCAGCGACTGTCTTAAAATTCAAATTTTTGATGCTCTGTCTTTCAACAGGTCCTGCTCTATGACTCTCCTCTACACCTGGCTTTCTAGGCAGCCAACCAGATGGTAAGAGAGTTGGCATTACAACTGCTGGAGGGCTCGGAGGCTTAGACAGCTGGCTGCCGAGCCAGAGGCTGGGAATTCAGTTCCCTGCTGTGTCTCCTTGACAGGGGATGGACTTGAGAATCCACAGGGTCCCTTCCTGCTCTGCAGGTTTAGGATTACTGTACTGTTATTTAGAAGGAAAACACTCTCAATCCTTATTCAGTAAAAGAGCTTGCTTTTCTTTCGTATTTGGAGAAGAGGAGACATCTCTGGCTTCCCGAGATCGGCATGAACTGTCCGTTTGGTGGTTCAAGCCAGTTCACTTACTGGCCAAACAGATGTTCGGTGGGGGAATCCTGCCTCATCCCACAGGCAACCACTCAGAGGCAGCACTCAGAAGAGGCAGGGTGGGGAAGCCTGGGTGAGGCCTCTGTGTGGACACCCATGGGAGGGAGAGGGGCTTTGAAGCACCAAACCCTTCTTTGGCCAGTAAATGGTCTGGTAAGAGCTGGTGAATCAAGGATATATACCAAGCCCATCTCTACCGGCTTATGATGTCTCATTCACATACTTCTGAAGGATTTCTCTAGATGCGAAGGGAAAATGTAAGAGCAAGAAATACACTTTTTTTTTAAAAAGTGTGATCTGATGCTTAGAGATTAGACAGAGGTCTTTCCATTTTATAATTGCGTTCTCTGATCATTTAAAGACTCAAACTGGGCCCATCAGCCTGCAAATCAAACTAACTGCACGCTGCCCCCGCTGCCACCTGCAGAAGGGGTTGCAGCTGGCGCTCGGCGATCATGTCCAACTGACTAATGGGGCAAATAATTGATTAGATTCATTTCCCCTCCAGTGATTCATATCGGCTCCAAAAACCACAGCAGTGGCCCGCCTCCTAGGGGTGGTGTTCCTGTGGCGTTGTGTCGTGTTGGCCGGTGGAAGGGGGGGGGCATGAAGCCAGAAACCAGATGCTCATGCTGCTTCTTCTTCCATCATTCATCAGTGGCACAAAAATGCATTTGTACAGGTAGCAGGATCACAGCTGCTGATTTGTTAGGGCTTAGAAACAAAGGCATAGGTCTCATCCACAATCGTTTGGGCAGGCGAGGCCTCTTGCTTCATTTATATATCAAGAGCTACCTTCCTCTGTGCTCCCCCCCCGCAAATCTTGCTGTCTCTAATCCATCACTTTGAAGCTAACACATCTTGCAAGAAGGCAAAGGTAATTTTTTTTAAAAGGACACATATTTTCCGTTACTATTTTCACTTCTGATCTGCTTTAATCTAGAATGTATGAGAAGAAAGAAAGAAAAAAGAGTTTTAAAAATTATATCTACTCTTTCAAACATGTTCCAAGACTATTTTGTAT